GCTCCGAGCTGGAATCGAACCAGCAATCTTCTACATAGGAGTCGGTCGCTCTACCAAGGAGGCTAAAGACAATGGCCTCTAGCGTCAGTCGCTAGAACACCTTTAGAGGTTAGAGGAGTGAGGTTTACCTGCACAGCACACACTAGCTGGCCTCTGTTACACATGCATGGAACATTTAATAACGGACTGAAGCATGTCACATAAACACAAAACAGATTTTTTTAATAGTTATTATTGAGTCAAATTCACAAGTCAAATAAATTTGCACTGCTATTTATATTTACTTAGCAGTCATCATAAAACAATAAAATAATCCCTTATAAAATTTAATTATGATATTAATAATAAGAATATTTTTTACAGTCGAGAATAGAAAAGATATTGTCTGATAGAAAAAATCTCATATTAACACATTAATAATAATTCTTAAAGTTTACGTCAAATTTACAATAATCTAATTTGCACTGCTTTTAGAATATACAGATCAATCATCATAAAACTTGATGAAACCACAAATCTTTAATAAAATAACTTTGTAAAGTGGATTTATGCATGGAAAATATATTCCATGACAAAAATAAACCCATTTAACCAGCAATTATTATATTTGAGTCAAATTCACAAAAATCTCATTTAAGCTCATTTAAATGTTATCACAAGTTATACTCTCGTAATCATTCTGCATAAACTGATTTGTTGTTGTTTTTTACATGATTCTGTGCAGAAATTTGGTCTGACCTGATATGTTTGTCCTGGATTCTTTGTTGAATATAAAGCTCTAACGTTTAATTTAGCATTTACTGCATTTTTAATCAAATAAATGCAGCTTTTTTATCATGGTACCTTTTTACAAAGCATGCTCAAATTTATTCAACTATTATCATATTATCTTTGAAATAAGCATTTTTTTTTTACTCTTTAATTGGTCATAAATTAGTTATTATGATAGAAATCAATTAAAGGGGGATCTGTTTATGTGAGACAAAGTTAAAAGCAGATCAGTGGAAGTTGAAGTTATGTCGATTAAAATACTGTATTTAGTCAAATATTATGGTTTTGTAGTAAATTAATCTCCAGAAGATTAACCAAAGGATTGTTTACTGAATGTCTTGCATGTGTATATTTTTTGCATTTTTCTCTTAGTTCCTTTAAACTGGTAAAAAAAAAAAAAAAGCAATATAGCTTTTCAAGCATTGATGTTGCTTGAACTGTATTTTTTCTGCTTTGTAAAATGACCCTATAGTCTGAAGTATATTATTGCAGGTGCAGTTAATGGTGTTTAATTTAATTTATCATTATGTATGGAACATGTTACATTTCCTGTGATTATTTTACAGATTTTGATGCATATATGCCATATACAGTTGAAGTCAGAATTAATAGTCCCCTTTTGATTTTTATTTGTTTTTTTAAATATTTCCCAAATGATGCTTAACAGAGCAATGAATTTTCACAGTATGTCTGATAATATTTTTTCTTCTGGAGAAAGTCTTATTTGTTTTATTTTGGCTAGAATAAAAGCAGTCATAAATTGAAAAAAAAAAATTGGGGGACAAAATTATTAGCCCCTGTAAGCTTTTTTTTTTTTTTTTTTGATAATCTACAGAACAAACCATCGTTATACAATAACTTGACTAATAACCCTAACCTGCCTAGTTCACCCTTTTAACCTAGTTAACCCTTTAAATGTCACTTTAAGCTGTATAGAAGTGTCTTGAAAAATATCATGTAAAATATTATCTACTGTCATCATGGCAAAGATAAAATAAATCAGTTATTAGAAATAAGTTTTTAAAACTATTATGCTTAGAAATGTGTTGAAACAATCTGTCCTCCATTAAACAGAAATTGGGGGAAAAAATAAACAGAGGCCCTAATAATTCAGGGGGGCTTATAATTCTAACTTTAACTGTATATGCTCTTAGCTTGCTTACGACACGAGAGTTTTTGGGGGATCTCCTCATCTGCATCTATTTTTACATAACATACGTGTAAATTTCATCACAGTCTACTTAGATTACATTATTTGTTCCAGTTGATTAATTTTGAGTCTAGTTATATTACTATTATGGTCAAAAGCTTGTGTTCTCCCAAACCTACAGATCAAACTGACTACAAACATACTACTCCATACCTCAGATGTGCATGTGAATGCGAATGTGTACTGTATGATGGACAAATCAATCAGAACACATTATTTAACACACAAAAATATGATAATTAACATAAACAATTCATCCATTCATTCATTTTATTTCGGCTTAGTCCCTTTATTAATCAGGGGTTGCCACCGTGGAATGAACCGCCAACTTATCGAGCATATCTTTTACGCAGTGAATACCCATCCAGCTGTAATCAGTACTGGGAAACATCCATACACACTCTCACTCACACACATACACTACAGCCAATTTAGACTACCCAATTCACCTATACTGCATGTCTGTGGATTTGTGGGGGAAACCAGAGCACCTAGAGGAAACCCACGTAAACACATGAAGAACATGCAAACTCCACACAAAAATGTCAAATGACCCAGCAGAGGTTTGAACCAGCGATCTTGAGGTGGCAGTGCCCACTGCGCCACCTTGCCATCCTAACTGGAACAATAAACAATGAAATATGGCTCTTACATTATGCTCATAAGCTGGTTTGAAACCAGTTTTCTAAGAAGATGGATGTCTTTTATTCAAAGTTGTGTCTGTTAAGTCATTAAGAGGCACCAGTGCAGCAGGTCTGGTGTACTGCAGGACACTGCCGTTTACGAGGCCGTTTGATTTTACTGTATTTTAATTCCTTTGGAGAAGGATGAGCCCCATGAGCCCTGGGGATATTATAATGCGCTGGTGTGTGTGTGTGTGTGTGTGTGTGTGTGTGTGTGTGTGTGTGTGTGTGTGTGTGTGTGTGTGTGTGTGTGTGTGTGTGTGTGTGTGTGTGTGTGCCCGTGTGCATGTGTGTGTGACTTTGATCAGTAAAGTTCCTGGTGACTTGGAGGCAGATGAAACAGTTTTTCCAAATTAGAGCACCCACTCACTCGTCCTCTGTATCTGCCATCTCTCTCTCTCTCTCTCTCTCTCTCTCTCTCTCTCTCTCTCTCTCTCTCTCTCTCTCTCTCTCTCTCTCTCTCTCTCTCTCTCTCTCTCTCTCTCTCTCTCTCTCTCTCTCTCTCTCTCTCTCACTCACTCACTCACTTCTGTTTATAGCAGATATTTAAGTGATCAGTAGTCATTTCCTTCTCTACATTCTGTTCTTACTGTCTTTTCTCTTTTATAAATGATTTATTGCTGAAATGCTAAATCAATGCCGTATTTGCACATATACACTCAATAAGTTTTCACAACATTTAAAGTACAACTTATGTAATTTCCCTAAGTGAAGTTTCACGAACTAATTTCGAGAGGAGCATGTGATATGATTGACTGCAGCTGGTCTCTATCTAGCCAATCGTATTATTATTCTAAATTTAACATAAATATCCAGTCTAACTTCATTCCCTATCTTCGTTTTGGAAGAACCACCCATTCATCCCTTCTCCCTCCCCCTCATTTCTAAGATCGCACTGCTGCCTTACAGCAAGATAGTTGCCAAGTCAAGTACTAGCTGAGCCAGTCGGCACTTTCTGTGTGGAGTTTACATGTTCTCCCTGTTTTCGTGTAGGTTTTCCCAGGTATTTCGGTTTTCTCCCATAGTGTAAAGACATGTGACACAAGGAAATTAAATAATAGTAACAGTCACAAGCACTTAATGCGTACACACCGGTGCGATTGGCAGCCTATTTTCATAAAGCTGTCTTATTAAACAAGGTATTGGCTAAACGAATCAGGGGAGCTCTCGAGAACTACCTGATCTCTTATCCTTCCTAACGCTCATTGACAGGAGCCTTGCGCTCGTCTGTCTCTGACATCAGGGTTCTCTCCTGGGACAGCATCCTAAACCTGCTAACATATAGCATTATCTAAGTGTGAAAATTATTTATTTTGCACTAATTGTTTTTTTTACTAAAATACAAGGTAAGACTTTATTTTGATGGTCCCTATTGCACAATTTGTTGACTAAAAGTTGCATAGCAACTACAGGCCAATTACTTCTCATTTGTGTATTAGTAGACCATCTTAGTAGACATTTAACTGACTATAAAAAAACTTTGCAAGTACATGTCAACTTACACTAACCCTAACACTAACCCCAACCTAGCAAATGTAACTTAAATAAATTGATACCAAATACAATAACAGTAAATAAAATGAAATCTGTCTGTGATAAATGAAAGATAATCACAAAGATAAACAGCGAAACGTTACCCTGATGAAGGCAAGTGTTTGCCAAAATGTGTAGGTGCAGTTTTATGGAATAGCCATGTTAATAAAAAGTTTATTAAAACATTTTTTTCACATTTTTTTTCGAGTGCCTTGGACTTATAATTTCACTGTTTATCTTAAGAGCACCGGCACAATTTTAAAATTATCATAAATATAATGTCAGTCATATAATTTAATAGCATATAATCATTTTTGTCATCTCATACATGTATGGCATTTTTAAACAAAACAAATTGATACAAACATGGTGGCTCAGTGGTTAGCACTGTCACCTCACAGCAAGAAGGTCACTGGTTTGAGCTTCGAATGGGTCGGTTGGCATTTCTGCGTGGAGTTTGTATGTTCTCCCCGTTTTGGCATTGGCTTCCTTCGGGTGCTCCGGTTTCTCCCACAGTCAAAAGACATGCGCTATAAGTGAATTGTATTAATTAAATTGACCGTAGTGCATGTGTGTTAAACATATGCTGTATAAGTTGGTGGTTCATTCTGACCCCTGATGAATAAAGGGACTAAGCTGAAAGAAAATAAACTCATGTATTTCACTTATTTGGCAGTGCAGATTTTCTCATTTTAAGTTTTTCTGTTAGCCAAAGTATTTCAGTTACCAAAAAAGATTTGACATTTTTACTCTGATTTTGCTCTCTATTAACTAATCTGTCTCTAATGTTTTGTTTTCTTCAGGTTTTCTTAGCACTGGAGATCAGTCTGCCAAAGGGAACTATGGGCTGCTGGATCAAATCCAGGCCTTGCGTTGGCTGAATGAGAATATTGGGCACTTTGGAGGCGACCCTGAACGGATCACTATCTTTGGCTCTGGGGCAGGAGCATCTTGTGTAAACCTACTCATCCTGTCCCACCATTCTGAGGGTAAGTGTCAAATGTGTGTGAGCTACAGTGTTACTTATCAAACTAATACTACCCTACACCGATTTCCATCTCATCGTTAATGTTTGTCCATGTGTGTTACCTCACAAAAATGTCTCACCGTCCTGTCCAACTCTGCTCTTTACTCTGCTCGTCAAAAAGTCCACCTTCATCCACATCATCTTCATCATCACTATCATCCTCACCTAACATCAGTCCTACAGCCCTCAGCTGTCAGTCACAGCAGGTAAGCCATGGCAGAAATCACTCATGTCACATTAAGTCACTTCCCTGTGAGGAAATCCAAACCAACAGAAAATGCAAGAGATAAACACACTGTATGAAGAAGAGGATTATGAGTAAACATTAAAGGGATAGCACACCTACAAATGTTATCTGCTATCAGTTAGTCTCTCTTCACTTACCACAAATCTAAGTTTCTTTCTTCTGTTGAACACAAAAAGGGTAGCCATTGACTTTCATAGCATTTGTTCTTCTTATTATGGATGTCAGTGGTTACTGGTTTCCAGCATTCTTCAAAATATCTTCTAGTGTGTCCAACAGAAAAAAAGATCCTCAAAAAGGTTTTTCACGTCAGCAAATAAAGAGGGAACTTGTTTTTTGTGGGTGAACTTTAACATTGATCAACTGCCAAAAGCAGATGAAAATTGACTGTAGCGCAAAACGGAAAATCAAACGCAATGCCAATTTAGCCAGTTATATTTCATAAATTATGTTCTATCACCTTACTTTAAATCCTGAACTAAAAGGAGCCTCAAACATAAGCAAAACAAATTGTAAAATGCCTCACACATTGAGTGAAATGCCACGTCTTTACAACCCAACCATAATACAGCAGAGTATATCAGCTTTTGTCTTTCCCATTATTTATTATACTTAATTTGCAGGCACTTTTCTTCACTGGTTGCCTGTGTGGTGAATATATTCACTGTTTTCACTGCCATTTTTGAACCCGAGATTACAAGAACAAAAATAAATGACCAGTGTAGAGGCCACTTTTTCCAACTCTTTTTTTTTTATTGAAGAATTATAAGCTGGGGTACTATAACTGACATTATATGGAAGCATTTGGGTTGGGAATTAATAGATTTTTGCATGGATGTCAGTTTAGTATGCATTGATTTTTATGAAGAAACAGCTGATCAGTTTTTAAATGCTCTTTAGCATGCTTACTATTAAGGATTAATTTTTAAGTGAGTTATTTCTTAAATCTATAGCCAAAGTAATGCTGTAGAATTTGTAGAATTTTTGAATAATTTTATCAAAAAGCTCTAAATATATATATATATATATATATATATATATATATATATATATATATATATATATATATATATATATATATATATATATATATTTTTTTTTTTTTTTTTTTTTTTTTTTTTTTTTTTTGGAAAGCCAGAAGAAAACATTCGTCTACTCAAATTATTTGCCAAATATGTATTTTTAATTGGCTTTAGGAGTTTGAAGAGACTTGGAACAACTGAAAATTCACGTAGTACCAGAGTGAACGCTCAGATAGGGTGTGATGGGTTCTTCTTGTGCCTTAACTGCATTGTAAAATCAACTTTATCAAATGAAATGAGTGTAGTTAACTCAAAATTGACTGAAAGTTGATTCTACTCATTTGAAAAGAGTGTTGAACTCTTTTTTTAAAGTCAATTAAATACCTCATTACTTCAGCTTAAACAGAGTGATTTCACAGTACTCAAATATATTCGCTTTTTAACTCAAATAGTTTGTAGCAATCGCTTTCCTCAAATGGTTTGAGTTGCCTTAACTTATTGGGTTTTGCAGTACTCAGTTGGTTTGAATTCTCTTTAATTATTGGGTTTTACAGTGCTCAAATTGCTTCATTTACTCAAAAGGATTAAGTTCACAGTACTCATTAGGATTAGTCTTTTGAACATAAATGGTTTGTTGCAATCAGTTTCCTCAAATGGTTTGGGTTACCTTAACTTTTTGGGTTTAACTGTGTGTCAACACAAACAGTTGTCAAAACGTACATCTATTGGACTATTGCACATAAATACAGTCAGATATGGCTCACTACTGAAGGTAAATGTAAAAAGGTGTGCGAGATTAGCGCATGTTTGTGATTATGTATGTTCTTTGGTCAATAAGTAAATAGTTGTAAATGCAGTAAAATTATACTTTTGTCTGAGCATTTATGAACTAACTAGATCTTTTATGAAATTTATTATCCCCCTCACCAATTTGTTTTTGTTTTTGGGTGGACTGCCCCTTAAATGGATTCATTTATTAAGAAAACTGATCAAGTTTACTGAGATGGAGCAAAGCACGAAATTAACAAGCTGACTTTCTGAGCAGCGCTTAACTAAATGTGTGTTCGTGATCCTGTTTGGACAAGCTGGGCAAAGAGAAAAGCACAGAGACAAAGCTACAGTAGCTCCATATTGATTTCCCTGGGAAAGGTAACATGCTCTTCAATAATTAAAAAGACAGAAGGAAAGGAAGAAGGGCAGAACAAGGAAAAGAAGAGCCCTTCGGTAAAATCGTTCTGCTCTTCTCTTGTGAGTAAGAAATCGGCTTTGTTTGTAAGCAAAAAGGCAACAAGAGAATAATAGATTTACTGTTATTTTAATGCAACATGGAATTAGTACAATGCTAGCTTAGTAATCACTGAAAAATGTGGTTTGTGCCAAACCAAAGCTTCTTATTCTTTTTTTCTCTCTGTTCTTTTATTGATGCGATTCCAATTTAAGCTCTATTGGAATTGACATCACATTAATTCGATCCTATTAACAAGCCCTGGCTTTACTGAATATACAATATAATTGTATTACAATTGAATTATAATCTGTATGCATGCAGCCTTTTTGCCCTTATTGTAATTGCGAGACTACGTGAGATGTATGTATTTTGAACATTCAATTCGTCAAACCTTGATAACTTTATTGTTATGGCTTTTTAATCTCTTTTCTTCGTCTGTGTTAAGCTGATTTGACAATCTACATTATAAAGTTCTACGGAAATAAAGATGAACACAAAAATTAAACTACAATTGAAGATTAGTTCCCAAAAATTAACATTTTCTCACCTTTCACTCATCCTCAAGTGCCTCTTTTTCTACACTGTAAAAAGTGATTAGTTACTTAAAGCAAGTAAACCAATTGCTAGACATGCAGCAAGTTGACCTTACAGTAATAATGTAAGTAAACCCATTGTTACTTGGAAATGTCAAGCTGACTTAATTTATAATAAAAGCATAATTATGCTGATTGTATTCACTTTTTTAAATAAAAGTAAACTAATCACTTTTTTCCAATATACCTTTATTACACTGTAACAAATCCAGGGTTCCACACAATTCACTCACGTTGTTCCAACACAAATTAATTAAGTTAACTTATCACTTTTAACAAATTTATGTGGATTGAACATTAAAAAAAATAAGTTGTCCCAATGAAATCTCAAGAATTGTGTTGTTTCAGCTCATTTTAATAAAGTTTAGTTTGAACAAGGCAAGGCAAGTTTATTATAATATAGCACATTTCATAAGCAGTGGCAATTCAAAGTGTTTTACATAAACAGGAATAAAACAGACAAGATAAGAAAACAAAAATTAATTATAAAACTATTAAAAACAGATAAAAACTGATTAAAATGTGTTAAAAATAGGTTATAATAGTATGAAAAAAGGAAAGAAAGACATACTAGTGCGAGTCTTAGTTAAAAACAAGTAAAAAAAAACTCCTTTTTTGAGTGTATATGTGGGTTTTTTACAGCTTTTCTGTATATAGCAAAATGACAGTAACTAAAATAAATCTGCTCTTCCAGACTCCAATTAACTCCGAGTACAATTTGCATAATTATAAGAATTAAGTTGACTTAACAGTATTAAGTTACAATGGGAGTACTTACATTATTTTTGTAAAGTCAACTTGTTGCTTTTAAGGCAATTGGTTTACCCGTTTTAGGTAACTAATCACTTTTTACAGTGTACACTGTAAAACCCAAAAAGATAAAGTGACTCAAACTGTTTGAGGAGGCTAAATGCTACATGCCATTTAAGTTTAAAAATGAATCCTAATGAGTACAGTGAGCTTAATCCATTTGAGTAAACGAAGCAATTTGATCACAGTAAAATCCAATAAATAAAGAGATCTTAAACTAACTGAGTACTGGAAAACTCAATAATATAAGGCAACTCAAACCTTTTGAGGATTGCTACAAACCATTTAAGTTAAAAAACTAATCTATATGAGTACTTTGAACTGACTTCATTTCAATTGAAGTAATGAGGTAATTCACTTATTACCTTTAACACTAAGCCCAGACCCCTTTTAAATAAGTAGAGTTAACTTTCAGTAAAGTTTGAGTTAACTAGACTCATTTACTTTGATAAAGTTGACTGTTGGGTTTCTCAGTGTATCGAAGAAGTTGGATGAATGTTCGAGAATGTTGTAAACTGGTATCCATTAACATCCAAAGCAGAAAAAAACTACTATCAAAGTCAGTGGCAGCCAGTCTTTATCTTCCTTATACTTAGACTTTTCATTTTGGAGTATCATGCATCAACTTCCCGTATGAGCATGTATGTTATTTCTATTGAACACTAAATAAGTTAGAAGAATGTTGTAAGCTGATAGTCATTGAAATCCATAGTAGGAAAAAATAAAATTAAAGTAAATGGCTGCTCGTCTCCAACTCTAACAGGATTGAAACAAGTGGAGCTTCAGCAAATGATGACAGATTTTCAGTTTTGGGGTTTCATGCATCACCTTCCTGCACAAGCATGGGTATTATGAGTCCAGGCTTTTTTGTATGTAGGTAACAGCTTGTTTTTGCTTCCTCCCCACTACAGGTCTGTTTCAGAGAGCCATCGCTCAGAGTGGATCAGCCATCTCCAGCTGGTCCATTAGCTACCAGCCCTTGAAGTACACTAAGATCCTGGCTCGTAAAGTGGGATGCACATATGGAGAGACCGCAGACCTGGTGGATTGTCTCCGCAGGAAAAATTTCAGAGAGCTGGTAGATCAGGACATCCAGCCGGCCCGCTACCACATTGCATTTGGGCCGGTGATGGACGGAGACGTGGTGCCAGATGACCCGGAGATTCTGATGCAGCAGGTGATCTTGACTACTAGGTGGTTTCTAGGTCTTAAATTATGCATGTTCTACCAAAGATTTTACATGGTGAACTGACGCTTCCCAAGCCAAGGATTAGGTTGTAAAGTAAGACATTCAATGGACACTTGAAGGTCCTATGGAGAAGAAATATATGGGGGATTCATTAATTAAGTCCACTGGAGTCTGAAATCATTTTTGTAACAGAACAAATTTTGCTAACCCAAGTATTTCAGGTTAAATTGAGCTGTTTTGATTCGCTAGTTAAAGGGATAGTTCACTCAAAAACTAAGATTTTCTCACTATTTATTGACATATCAAGTGATTCCAAACCTTTAGTGTCTTTACTATGTTGAACACTAAAGAAGATTTTTTTAAGAAAGCTGAAAAAGTGTAACCATTGACTTCCATATTAGAAATGCAATTATTATCAAAGTCAAATAACAGGTTTTAAGTATTCTTCAAAGTAACTTCCTTTGTGTTCAACATAGGAAAGAAACTTAGCATACTTGAGACACGTTAAGGGAGAGTCAATGATGACAGATGATGAATTTTCAGTTTTGGGATTAACTATAAATTAAATTCTTTGAATTATGATTATTGTTTGATTTGATAGGTTTGAACAATGTGGTATGTTTGCTAAATTGGCATTCCAACTGCATGCTACATTTTTCTCAATTAACAAGTATTTTAATCACGTATTTATGCTGATTGCTCAACTCGCCTCCAGTGATGTGTTCATTTACATTTATACATTTGGCAGCTGCTTGTATTTGTATGTAGTTATTCCCTGTGTGTCAGTGCCGTGCATTTTTATCAGTTTATTTGTGTCACTTTTGTTAAAAACTAATGTTGAGTTTAACATTGTTAGTTCAATTTGAACTTCGGAAATTACACAGAATAAGTATTTAGGTGAAAAAATTGACCTAATACACTTTATAAAATATTTTATGATACATTTGTTTTGCATCTGTGAGAAGTTTGAATTATTAGTTTGTGGGGATGAAGATTAACACTTTAATTTCAGATCAAGAGAAGACTCAGAGTCAGAGATTTAATAAAAATTAAGAAAATCTGCTGAAGATAGTTTGAAGTTTTATGACAGAGGAGCTTCACACTCTCGTAGAACTCACTCGCCAAACTCCTGACTTACAATACAACAACACAGAAATTATAATCTTACAGAAAACCAAAAGTTCTGATTGGTTAAAGCAAAGATAGACAATTCTAAATAGGTACATCAATACGGGGTCGTATCTGAGTCCAGATAGGGATGGAAACAGAATTCTTGGGTCAGGCCGACCACAGACCACAGACTTGGGTCAGGCCGACTCTACAGATCTAAGACCTGTAGAGATGACCCCTCGGAAGCATACAGACACACAAGAGAACAATCTGTTTAAAACTCAAGGTTGTTTCCTTGTACTCTCAGCTGTCTAATTAAACTGGTTTGAAACTGGTGCAATCAACATTCAGGCTGCTAAACTCTTACCACATCAAATCTATCTTGCCCAAAAAAAACAGGGTGTCTGGGGAATCTTAAAAAGTATTAAAAATTAAGGCCCTTAAAGAAATTAAAATGTCTTAAACACGTTTTTTCGAGGTCTTAATTTTTGTTCAAGCATTGTCCAAAATGTTTGACTCTAAAAAAGCATAAATATATTTATTTTCCTCTTAATATTAACAACAGCGTGCTCGATCCACACGATTAGTTTGGGCCAGGAATCGTCTGGCCAAGCCTCTCTGTCCGATATCACGCAGAAAGGTGATCTCCACATGTAGTGAAACCATAGATCAAAACAAACTGCAAAGTGGGAAAATGCAAGTTTGCGTACTCCTGGTAGGAGAAAGACAAGTTTAAACAGTGGGTGAAGCCTGTCGCTGAAAACAACCGCGCAATTTATTCTTTAAGCTTATCTTTGCATGGTTGTGTTCCATTGATTTATTTAACTACAACTGTTTATTAATAACTGTTTATTAAATCAAAGTTTTGATACTGATTGGAACTTGAAGTGGCGATGAGGTCTTAAAATATTCTGAGAAGGTCTTTAAAAAGTCTTAAAAAGGTGTTAAAATTACCTTTAGGATTCCTGTATATACCCTGTAAATAGAAGTCACTATAGACAGAATAACACCTAAAATAGCAATAACAATAGGAACAGTTGTTTCAAGTCATCAGGCCCTGCAGTTCCACTCAAGAGGTCTCCATAGCCTATGGCCTGATCAGGTAGCCTAATGAAAATAGAGTTTTGACTGACAAAGATAGAGAGAAAACACTTCAACTGAACGTTCCTAAATCATGTTATTTTTAACTTTATTCATTAGTCGAAATCTTTTCGAAGATAATTACTGATTCAAATAATCATATTATTAAAGTATTGAGAAAAAGGATAAATGTTAGTCCTTGCTGGAATGGATTTAAAAACAGAAATCCATCCCATCAAGTTCTTTTTTAGATATTGAATCCAGTGCAGGTCAGTGCAGGTCAATCTTTTTGAGCATAATACAAGAGCTAAGCTTAGGTTTTGAATTTGTTAAAATTAATAGGTATGGAGTCTATATGTTTTATTAATTTATTATAACTCATTACATTCTCAGTGTTGTGGTGTCGCTCATTTAATTATGTAATGCTTATTTAATAAAAAAAAAATATTTATTCATTGAAAAATTACCTTATTATTTTTTCACTCTTTTAGAGACGATTCATTCCGCTGTAGCAACCTCTGATAAATAAAGGGACTAAGCCAAAGGAAAAATAAATTAAATTAAATCTTGGAGAGGATACAAATTTACCTGATGTTGACACCATATAAAATCATTAAATAGCAAAATGATCAAGTCTAGATAGGAAACCTGAGCAATGCAGTTCTGGCTACTTTAGCATTTATGAGTAAGGGATTAAATTACTCTGCAAAGTTCACAGCAATCATAATCTATCCTTTTAAAGTTAATCAAAAAATCTTCTGTGTTCGTTGATAAGTTTGTCACAGGAGGTAAATTTCTTTGTCCTTTAGGGGGAGTTTTTGAATTACGACCTTCTGATTGGTGTAAATCAAGGGGAGGGGCTGAAGTTTGTGGATGATGGAGGAACTGAGAGTGAAGAGGGCATTTCAGCTGCAGCTTTTGACTACACCATCTCCAACTTTGTGGATAACCTCTATGGATACCCTAAAGGTAAACTCTTCAGTCCCCTTTCCTATGTGACTTTTTATTTTCCTTGTCTTACCATTATCATAGGCACTTTGTTCCATTTTTTGTCAGCATATATTTGTATATCAAAATGTGGTGTAATATTATATTTGTTTATGTTGAGTGGATATACAGAATGATACTAAAGTTTCTTAATCAGGTTTAAAACAGAGCAGTCCTTCTAGTTTTGTGTTAACTTTGCCTACAAAAGACTGTCTTGGTATACAGCAAAGCAATTTAATTGCTGCTACTGTTATTCTTGATGTACTGCATACTCTTGATTAGGTGCTGTTGTTCACTTGTTCCACCAGAGGGCGACAAAAGACTAACAGTGTCAATTATTAGGTGATTTTGTTCACTTGTTCCACCAGAGGGCGACAAAAGACAATCAATGTTAATTATGATTGTGATTTGAATGCTATTTTATGTGCCTCATAAGATATTTCATGTCCTGTAGGTGTGATCAGTAGTTTTTAAATGCAGTAATATGCATTTTCATGTGTGTGTTCATAATCTAAACATGTATTCACACAAAACCTCCTGTTATGTTTTTAGCTCTTTCTTCACAGTAATTATTACCTTTGTCTTTCTGTAGGTAAAGACATCCTGAGGGAGACTATTAAGTTCATGTATACTGACTGGGCAGACAGAGACAATGGAGAAATGCGGCGCAAGACTCTACTCGCATTATTCACTGATCACCAGTGGGTGGCGCCAGCCATCGCTACTGCCAAGCTCCACGCTGACTACCAGTCACCTGTCTATTTCTACACATTCTACCACCACTGCCAAACAGAGACACGACCCGAATGGGCAGACGCAGCACATGGGGATGAGATACCCTATGTGTTTGGTGTGCCAATGATCGGAGCAACAGATCTGTTCCCTTGCAACTTTTCCAAAAATGATATCATGCTCAGCGCTGTGGTCATGACCTACTGGACCAACTTTGCCAAGACTGGGTGAGTCTCAACATTCAAAATCTGTCTAATCCCCAATTCAAATTCATTTGCAGATTACTTCCTGACATCCAGAAGAGTGCCCGGTGATATGGCCAAACATGTTCTATTCAAAATGTGTATATCATGTCATATTAATATTTACGGTGATATTCATTTAGTGCCATTATTGGACAAGGGGAATTTTTAGTTTTAGGTTTTTCTGTATGTTTTCTGTTTTATCTGTATTTTCAATTTTATGATTATGATTATGAATAATATTTTCGAATAAAAATTGGAGTCTAATGAAATTAATTCCTAAAACTTTAATTGAATTAGTATTTTAAAATATACTCAATGAAAATAAAACAGATTATTGTTTTTTATGCTATACAAAATAAAGTATTAAACAAATACTGTAATAATCTATACTGTAATAATTAAGACTTGGGCCTAATCCCAGTTCTATTTTTGTCATATTATCATAACGATATAAAGTGGCGATGAGGCAGTGGCGCAGTAGGTAGTGCTGTCGCCTCACAGCAAGAAGGTCGCTGGGTCGCTATTTCGAGCCTTGGCTCAGTTGGTGTTTCTGTGTGGAGTTTGCATGTTCTTGCCTTCGCGTGGGTTTTCTCCGCGTGCTTCAGTTTCCCCCACAGTCCAAAGACATGTGGTACAGATGAATTGGGTAGGCTAAATTGTCCATAGCGTATGAGTGTGTGTGTGAATGTGTGTGTGGATGTTTCCCAGAGATGGGTTGCGACTGGAAGGGCATCTGCAAACACACGAAAACAACATTATACCAGACACTGTAGCTCATTCCCAGCCACTAGACGGGGTATTCATGTGTCAGATGTGAAAGTATGTTGTGGGACTGCTATACAGGAGTTATTGTTATGGATTATAGATAGCGAAATGTAGCGGTTTTCATTTTAGCGTTTTTTTTTTTACGGTAAAACACGATTGCCTTTATGAATGTATTAAAACATGTGCTTGTTTGTTGTAAAAATTTGTAATAATGACAAAAGAAATACTAATTTGTGCATAACCTTATTTCCGTGTACAGCTATGTTGCCGTTGTGGCTGGTGTATTTTGGGATATTTTTGTATCCCTTGGTTTCAAGTGTGGGCCTAAAAAAAATCTCAGTTTCGAGGGCCATCTAGCCCTACACCTTCAAGCTAAAGAGAATTAGGACACCCCTTCCCATTCACATGAATACGCAAAACAAGGGGTAGGGGTAAGGGGAAAGGCTAAGGGGTAGAATTGGGATTGGGCCTTTGTTGAACAAATATCTTGGTTGTGTGTTATTTTTTAAATAATAATTCTAATAATACTTAGGGAAGTATATCCTACTATGCTTTAGTGTAATCTTTCTGTTATAATTTCTTCAAATTGAATCAGAGTTTGATCTGTTTGTCTTAAGGAATTAGAATTAGAAAGTGTGATGGTAAAATAAGGTCAAATTTGCAATTCTGTATTGCCTTTTCAATTCCAAATTCATTCCTGTTTTGACAATTTTCAAATCATTCTCTGTTACAATAAAATATCTTTTTTTTTTACAGGGATCCCAACTTGCCTGTTCCTCAGGACACCAAGTTCATCCACACCAAACCCAACCGCTTCGAGGAAGTGATCTGGACCAAGTTCAACTCAAAGGACAAGCAGTATCTCCACATTGGCCTGAAGCCTCGAATCCGTGACAACTACCGAGCAAATAAAGTCGCCTTCTGGCTGGAGCTGGTTCCTCACCTTCACAACCTTCACGAGGAGGTCTTCAGCACTGCCACAACCCGGCTGCCTCCAGGAACGGCCCGAACCCCACACTGGAAGGGCCAGGGTCCCCGTACAACACGCCATCCCATCCCAACCTTCCCGTCAGAACTAGACCCAGATAGTTCGGAGCAGCCTCGATTTCCTCCCTTCCCAAGCGACACCCGGGACTACTCGACAGAACTTAGTGTGACCGTGGCTGTTGGCGCTTCGCTCCTGTTCCTCAACATCCTCGCCTTTGCTGCGCTTTACTATAAACGCGACAAACGACATGAAATGCGAAGGCACCGGTTGTCTCCGCAACGAGGCGTAGCCGCTAATGATTTAGCACACAGCCAGGAGGAAGAGATCATGTCCCTGCAAATGAAGCACTCGGAGCATGACGCCCACCACGACATGGAGCCATTGCGACCGCATGATATTTTACGTCCCGCATGCCCACCTGACTACACATTGGCGCTACGGCGGGCACCCGACGATGTTCCACTCATGACCCCAAATACCATCACCATGATCCCTAGCACCATCACGGGCATGCAGCCCCTTCATGCCTTCAACACCTTCCCCACATCCACCGGGCACAACAATACCTTACCCCACCCCCACTCCACCACCCGTGTATAGTAGCACCACGAGAACGAGAGGACTAGCTCTCACATGTATCCAGTTTTCTCTCTCTGTCCACCTTTTCAAGCTCCTAAACTTACAGTTCTGCTGTCAAGAGCAGTGGCAGCACATCTGTTGAGGTTCTCATAAACTATATCAGAGGTTTTGTAGACATTGTACACACTAGAGGAGCTCTGTTCATAGACTCTACAGCAAGCAGCAGATCTGACAAGTCATGGGCTTCGTTCTGGATTCAACTTGTGAGTTGTTAAAGAAGAGGGGCAATTTATGGAGGCACAGAAGCTGGTCTGATGTCATGAGGGGAATGAGGACGTTTTCCCATTCTTCGCCTCTTACTAAATTGGCAGAGGGCAGATTTCATCCATGCTTTTCTTTCGATCTTCACTCTTTGTTATGCCATCATTAGCCCATCGGTCTCTCTGTCCGAATGTGGTCTTGTGTTTTACATGAATCGTAGGGGCATTTGATAAACGACTGACGCCGGATATGTTGTGTTTACCTGCAGTCTTGTGTCAAGTATTAAATCACACCTTGTAACAATAGATAGAGGATGAGAGAAAATGACAGAAGATGAAAGCAAAAGTGCCAACCTCGTCTTTCTCTCGCTCTTGCTCTCGCTCTGCTCATTTCATCAAGCGTATCTGAAGTGGCTACGTGTTGTTTCTTAGAAAGATTTTTGTATGTATAAATATAAAGACAAATATATAAAAGAATGATATAAATATATATATATTTACATGGATTGCTCGGTGGGATCTATGCATGAAATATTTTAAAGCACCAAGAAGGACACTGGGCTGTAAACTCCCACGGCATTTTTCTTATTTACGGTGTTTTTTTGTTGTTTTTTTCTAGTTTGCTTGCTTAAAATGGCTTTAACAACTTTCTCCATGGTTTATTTATCCAAATGTATCATCCTCTTCAGTCTGACCACTCTAAAGGACAGTGTCCTCTCTTTGAGAGCTATTGGAAACATACTTTTTACAATGTTTGAAATATTCACATCCAGTAGTTGATGCTGTTACTTGACCATCATGTAGTGATCAATCAGAGTTGTTCAGGATGGTCTGAACAAAATTACTCCAAGTTTCAAATCCACATATAGTTTTGCATCTCTCGCTTTATCACAGAGACAAATAAAAATGATCATCTTAAGGCCAGGACACATCAAGGCAGTAATCAGCCATTGGGCAGCATTAGTCCTTTGTTGAGCAGCGGTGAGATTAGGTTGTTTAATGTGTACTACGTTGCCTCTTATTGAGCTCATGTCAGAGGGAGTTTGTCTGATTCAGAATGTAGAAAGAGAGCACTCTGATTGGTTGTTCAACTATGAATCAGAGAGCGAGAACAAAAAACTGAAGTGTCAAAACCACACAGTCCAAGAGGGAACAAAGAAGATGGCTGTCATCAAACTTCTTTAATATTTGCAAATGATATGGATTATCAGTCTCTCAGTTCTGGGTTGCAGCTGGAAGGACTGTGTAAAACATATGCTGGAATAGTTGGCGGTTCATTCCGCTGTGGCAACCTCTGAAATAGAGACTAAGCTAAAGGAAAATAAATAAATAAATAAATGATGAAAAATTAATAGATTATTAGATTATAAGCCATATCTGCTGAAGTGCACCCCTCTGTGGTGAGCGAGAAGTACTGCGAAATATGTGTAGTTTGTATGCGTGCAGCACTAGTTCCAGTTTCTCTTTGTGGAACGACATTATAAACTACTGCTACCTGCAGGTTTGGAAACATACATCCACTCAAGGATTCACAGAACGTATATGTTCTCATTTTAGTCAGCTGTCATCCATTTGGTGTGTTTACATGCAGCTTTTTGGTCCAGACGGGACTAGATGCAACTGATTTGAGATGAGAACACAGTCAGTTTTCTTCATCGCTATTTCTTGGTGTCAGCTTGGTGTGTCCTGGGCTTTACACTTCAGTCCTTCTCTCTCTTTCTCTGCCTCTCTAATTCAATCTCAGTCCTTGCTTTCTCGATTCAACATAATATAATATTCCATCAAATTTCAAGAGGTGTTAATGTCAATGCGTGAGATAAAAGTATGTGACCGAGATGCACAAAGAGAGAGAAACCTAATTTAATCAGTCAAAAAATCAAAATCATCACTTTGAGGCATTTTCCTACATTTCTACATATCCCACATCTCTCCGCACTGCACACTTGACCTTTTCAGGTTACGACAAGCACAGCAAATAAAGGTGTCAGCAAACCAGACAAATGTTATATTTTGTCAGACAGTTTCATTTTCCGGTTCATAACGAAATGGCTCAGAATCGCTGGACATTAACACACTCACTTCTATTCTGTTCATGCCTTGTTAGAATTATTTTCTGCCACGGCTGCATGCCAGAGGACGATGATGACGGCTTGTGCAAGAAAGTGCGTTTGTCTCACTGATGGCTCAGTTTGCTGGTGTATTAAGTCTGGAGGACCAGCAAAAACTGCTGTCAGCAATGCTCCACATGAACCATAAACACACTCTAGCGACACACTGGAGTTTCAGGATGTCATGCAAATGTATTCTCCATTGTGGACTTAACAGACGCCGATGGCAACTGGACAATAGACTGTAACAAGATCCGCTTACCTTCTGGACATCTGAGATTGTAGATTGGACCTGTGGATATGTACCATCTGTGGACTTTTGTGTGGTTGTAGGTAAAACTGAACTCCATTTTAAGCAAACTACGAGGAGTTTACGACTAGAGCTGCGTACAACACAACCTCAATTCTAATAACCAATACTGTTTTAAAGGATGAGTTGAGACAGCTTTTTGTTATTTCTCTCGTTTGTTTTTGTACGCTCAACCACTAGAGTGTGATGGTGTGCTACATCCAGAATAAAGACTCTTCATCCATTACGAGCCATTCATTGGGTCTTCAGTAGGCGTACAGCGAGAAGGAGAAATAGAAATTAACTGTACATTTTTAAGTGTAAGAACAAATCAACTGAAAATATTTGTAAATATTCAGTTTCTTGTTTGTTTAATGTTAAATTCTTCTTTTTTTTTCCGTTTTTTTCTGGTCGAATGAAATATGAAATACTCTGTGACCAGGACAACAGGTGCAAGTTGTAATTCAGCCACCAGCAAAATTAAGGAATCTCATTCGTAAGACTTTAAATTCACTTTCTGCTGCTTCATTTTGTTTTGGGATCCGTTAATGGAGACGGTTTTATATTTGAACATAAAGATTGTTTAACATGTAGCATATCCATGTTATCTGAGCCATCACGGCTGGTCATATTTGTGTATGATTAGCTGTTTATTTCACGTTTCACAGAGATGGGCTGCAGTTTATTTACTCAAAGGACACACTGAAACCATGGTGGTCATGAGAAGTGTTTCATCTGCCATGAACTTGCTGTAGCATTTAATTCTTACCAAAAATGTTGTCAAGATTTAGAACTATTTAAAGTGAGTCAAACGGATTATTTTGTGGTCACATTTTTACATTTAACTATATATATATATATATATATATATATATATATATATATATATATATATATATATATATATATATATATATACAATTAATTATTTTTAATGAATTGATCATAATCCCGAGATTAAGAGATGTCAAGTCTAAAGGTTTCAAGATTACTGAACAAATGAAGCACATGTTATTCCTCTAACAAAATAAGATGTTAAACCGGGCCCCAAAGCAAATTTACACCTGTTGCCCTGTTTTACTATATGTGTTCAGAATCAAAACGCCACAATTGATGAAGAATAAACATGTTAATAATGGATTTAAAGAAAAAAAAAGAAAAGGTAATAATATATACATACGGTGATGATATTTCTCTTTATTTAGAAGTTATTACACACTGTATGCTGTGACTCTGATCTGGGGAACATTAAAGAAATTCATAGCCAGATATCAGTCTCTGTTTCCTTTTAATCAAACGTCTGATCATCAAATAAATATATTAATTATGAATTATTTGAAATAGACGGCTGTACCTGCGAGTAAATTTCCGTAACTTGATAAAAATGTCCTCTCTGTCCCCTTAAATATATTAGTTATAGTATCATTAATGGAATTGTCAACCCAATATCAGGAGATAGTCATGACCAGCTTTTTGCCATCCTTCAATGATAAAGTGTAGAACATGTAAAATAATCATTACAAAAGTCCCATGACTCCCATCCAGACATCAAACTCTTGTTAATTGAGAGTTATACATAACGTGGTTAGAGGCATGCATTAGGTGGTTATATTTTGAAAGAAAAAAATACACATTTTTGTGATGGAATCATTTAAACAGTAAGCCAATAAAAAAAAGAGTTTGGTTTATGAAAATTCTGAAATATACTTAAATATTAATTTAACTAATTTGGTTAAATAATCACGAGTATGCAAGGCCTACCTAAAATAATGCAGAGTACTAGACACCTAGCTGTAAAAGATTCATATGATGCCACTTTTGACAATACGTATTCTGGTGACCCAAGAATGTTTCTGTGAAATTTCTGCACAAAATAACCCATAGCATGTCCAATTTGCCACTTTCTGGGTGTGAGCAAAAAACACAGTTTTTATTTGTGTACATTTAATCGTAAATTAGAAAGTGTTTTAAATGTACCAAATTAATTAATGAACGTAATCATGAATGAAATTAAAATAAACAATGCCAAGTGCATTTTTGACAGAGGAATGCATAGCATCTCTGCTATAAGGTAGCAACAACACCTATGCCTCATTGTTTTGATATATTTGGATGGCATTTTGCTATTTTTCCACATAGTGATGTAGGTAGGGGATGTAAAATTCAGTCGAAGCATTTTCAGAAGGTCTGGATCAGCCTACGCTTTTACACAGAAAAAAAAATCCTTTTGTGGGCAACTTTGAGCTTGTAACACTAATGAAAAATAAAAAACATATATACGTACACATCTGGCCCCTTTAAAATATGTCTGTATATCTTTTTAAAGGTTTGCATTCTATAAATCTAGATTTTTTTAAAATAACTCTTACTTGTAAATACTTTAATTGTTTTAATTATGAATAAATCAGTGTTTATTAATCGTACCATTGAATGATTCAATGGCTTATCTCGTAAGAACCAAGGTTTCTCAAGTAACCATCATCATAGTAAGCATGTGACCTTCCTGGGCCAGTCTTTCAAACACTCCCAAGACTATAAACCATTTCACCATTAAATGCTCTAATGAAATGGTCTAGTCCAGGGATGGGCAAACTTGATCCTCGAGGGCCGGTGTCCCTGCAAAGTTTTGTTCCAACACTAGTCAAACAAACCTGAACAAACTAATCAGTGTCTTCAAGATCACTTGAACTCTATAGGGAGGTCTGTTTGAATAAGGTTGGAGCTAAACTATGCAGGGACATCGGCCCTCGAGGATCAAGTTTGCCCACACCTGGTCTAGTCACTACAACATTCTACCAAATGATGTAATTTTAGCATTGATGTAAGTTCATAAGCATTATGTCTTGTTATTAGGTGGGATATTTTACCAGTGGCTTGTATTTCAGTTGTGACGTAATTACGGAAAGTCTCTGATGAGCTATCCATCTTTTAAGTTGGAGGACATTTTGGGATAAAGTGCACAGATGCTATTAAAATTGTAATTTTAATATTTTATATTTAAAAATATTAAATTACTTTGTTAATGTAGTACAGACAAGAGTTTTTGGTTTTTAAGTGGTTTACATCACACACAGTTTAGCATTGCCATTCACTTAATATTAAACAAAAGAAAACATACTCCACCCATTCTCACCAAAGGGTTCAAGCGCAACTTTATAGCATCATTAACCTTCGTCCAATAGGTATTTTAAGGGAAAAACAAATTTCTTATTTTGTGTTTAACAGAAGAAAGGCAAATAGGCTTGAAACAAGTGAAGCATAAGTAAATGATGACAGAATAATTTTAGGAGAAAAAGCTCCTTAATGAAGGCCTACTAAAATTCTGCTTCCAAATGATCACAACGAATGACAAAGTAATCATCACAAAATAATTAATGATTAAAATTGCAATATATTGACAACATTTTTCATCAAACAGCATAACATTCAACTTGACAAAAAGAACTGTAACCTACAGAACATTGCACCATTGTAGTCATTTTGTATGATGCATTCATTTTTCTTTCATCTAATTCTTCCAACCTTTGAACAATGAACCCGTATTTCAAATCAGATCAGTTGACCACTGTGCTATTACAAAATGTCTGATAAGAAAATAGATATACAATAGATATAATTGGCCACAGTGAAAAAAAAATACCAAGAGGGTAGAAAAAGATTAATAACAATTTTACATTTATGAGCATTTAAAAGGCTTAGAAAGAAGGTACGTTTTAGCATAGTTTTGAATACATGATTTTTTCTTATTTTCATTGTTGATAAAAATGTCAGTATCAATTTTTTTTTTATTTTTGCCTTTATTTGACAGGACAGTAAGTGAAATGGGGGGAAGGGGTGCATTCAGGAAAGGCCCCCAAGTTGGGATTCGAACTTGGGATGCCTGGAGCGCTGCCATACCATATGTCAGCACACTAACCACTGGGCTATCATACCGACATTGCCATCTTTCAATGAGAAAAACAGTCACTGTTATGCAATTTGTCTCTGCAAAATGTGTAGGAATTTAACCAATGTATGTTTTGTGTAGGCTGATTGTGAGAGCTCTGTCAAATCACTGTACCTACAGTTGTAAAATGAATATAATCATTTATTTCACACTGAAAGCCTCTTTTAAACTCTTCTCTGCTTGTTGTTTTGTTATCATTTTCCAGATAACAGGTATATCAGCAGGCTGTGCATTGTATTTTTCAGCAAACTTAGTGTTGTAGCGAGCCATCACATATTTCCAGTAGTCTGAGGCCTGTATGCTAGTATCGGCAGGGATGTGCCAATCTGGAAAGATTTCTCTGTACCTCTTGTATGGATGAAAACTGTACTTAGTCTCAAAGCACTCAAATTTTCTTTCACTTTGGACATTTGTGGAGCAAATGTTTGTCACTAATTTTTCAGAATTCACTTTTCTGTATCTGCCGATTCCCTGAGGTCTGTGAACTGAAGCACAGTGTTCAGAGTGAGCTTCTCCACCAGCCTCACATGGAGTGCTGCAGAATGGACACTGTTTTCCACATCCAAACACCCTCTTGAAAAGTTCATCCTGGGGTTTTATTTTGAGTTTGAACAGTTTGCCCTTTATGTCAATTTTCTTCAACTGTTTCTTCACTGTCTGTTCCATTTCCTCCACTGATTTGCTTAGCCAGCATGCAAATGACTCTTGAGATGCATTGTTGAGGACCATCACTGTTTCTAGAGCATCTTTGGGAATTATAAGCTTTTGCCCAAGCTTCCTACATATGCACTGGATGAATTCTTTGATGCCACTTTCATCTGTTTCATTCTGGGCTGATTTGACAGCTTCCAGAATCTCCTTGGTAATTCCTCTGAGGTGACATTCTTCCAACTCAGAGACTTTATTGTTGCTCGAAAAATGTTTGATTATTTGATCTTCTATCCAGCCCTTAACAAAGGATTCGTAGAAGCTGATGTATTTTTCATACTGCTCAAACTTGTCTTCATTTACAAGTTGCTTTAGGAGGGAGTACTGGAAAAATGCACGAGTGCTGAACTGAAATGCATTTTTCCCCTGTAGCATTTGATCTACAATGTCTGGACCCAAGGAGCTGTAGATGAATGCCTCAACAGCAGGCTTTAAGCAGAGTTTTGTGAATTCTTCTGCTTTTCTCTGGCACTGATCACGATCATAGAACAGGTCTTTAAAATCATTTTGATATTTGCCTTTAAACCTGTCAAGGCATCTACGTGGATCATTCTGCATAATGAAATGATCATGCATGTCTTGAAACGATTTAGCCGAAAACCCGCAAACATATAGTTTAAGGGACAGTTCAAAATCATCTGAAAATCCAATATTCTTGTTGGATTTCAGCCTGTTATCAATTATGTGTAGGATCTCCTGAATGTAGGCATCATGGTAATCTGAATGCCTTGCCATCTTTTCCAATACAACCTGACAACATGTCTGAATTATATTTTCTGCCAAATTTTGCAGCTGCATTGATGAGTTGTCATTAGTCATACGTTTATACCACCTTTTGAAAAAGATTTCTTTCTTGATTTTGAACTCCCCTTGTCCATAATTCTCCAGTTTCACATTTACTAATTGCTCTGTAACTGAACTTCCTTTATGTTTCATTTTATCCCTAAGTTCCTTGAAAACGCAGTCAAATATACTTATTTTCCTCAGTCCAGTATTTGACAACTCGTTGACGGATTCCTGCCATATTTCTTCAAAAAACTGCTCAAGCTCCTCGTCAGTTTTCTGGGCATCATTGTATTTGCGTAACTCCTCCAAGAGACTCAACACCTTTTTCTCCATTGTATCAGTGAATTTTTTCTTGATGTTATCCAGCTTATTCATTCCTCTCCTTATTTCCACAATTGTCTCAAGTTGTGTTACCAAGGAGCTCTCATTTACCCTTCTGAGAGACTTTATGCTGCTTACAAAGCCTTCTTTGTACTTTTCCACAAGAAAGACATGACCCTCTGTTTGTTCAAAGTATTTGGACAGGTTATCCATTGTGGTCTTTTCCAGTGTGTCAAGTTTTGTGACAGCTTCTTGTTTCAGTTTGAATAAAATATCTTTCAGGTCTGACTTGTCTGATTTCTGTTTGAATATCTCAAAGTTTGACACTCTGGTTTCAGCTTGAGTTAACCAAGAGTGCATTTCCTTTTTGAAAGACCATTCCCATCTATTGTATTCTGCACACAGTCTCATGTAAGCATCTGCCACCAAGCTATTCCTGAAGCTAAATATGAAGTTTTCATACTTGACTGCATTCCACAAGCTTTTCGTCCACTCCAAAAAGTCAGTAATGTTGTTTACATGTGTGTTACATTTGCATTGTGCAATTATCTCAGCCATGTTCTTTTTAAAGTCATAGACAGCCTCGGAGTAGCCAGCGTTCACTGGTGCCATTGGAGGATTTCCATGCCAGAGCCCAGGGATATACCAGTTGCAGGTCTCCGGATCATACTCCATCACATCTGTGAACATTTTATACTCCTCCTTGTTCTCCATTCTAGCTGCTGCCTCTGTCATCTCATTCAGCTGCTCCAGCAGAAGCTTCCGATCTCTCATGTTCTTGTCATGGGCTGATACATCAGCGACATTTTGGTGGACAAACTGACACTTGGGTTTTTTACCTATTTCCTTCATTCTGAGGAAGGCATGGACCACAATTTGCAAAATGTCCTTCATCTCTGTGGAATTCTCCATTGCGATGTTGATGATTGTGACGTCACTCAATCCAACAACAAGTGTGGCTAATTCGTTGTCATGTTCATGGCTATCATCTAGTTTTGCAAGCTCTGGGGATTTCAGGCCTTCAGTGTCAATTATCACTAAATAATCACAGCCAAGTTGTTGTTTGATGTCATCTTTGACTTTAATCAGCTGCATGAAAGCTCCTCTGGTGCATCTTCCACTGCTGACAGCAAATTGAACTCCAAACATGGTGTTCAGCAAGGTGGATTTCCCTGTGCTCTGGACTCCTAAAACTGTGACCACCATGATTTTATTATTGGGCTGCACTAAAGAGTTTAGATACTTCAGTACATCACTCACCCATCTAAGAGGAATATTTGAAGCATCTCCATCAACCAGTTCTAGTGGGAAACCATTCAACATCAGCTTAGCACATAACTTTGGCAAGTGGAGCATTTGTTGACGTGATTCTAGGTTTTCTGAAAGCGACACAGCGGCTTCGTAAAGTTGGCCCATTTCACGCAGGAAGTGCTCTACTCCTAAAGAACTGTTGGAGATCTGTTGATCGAGCTGTGCGATTTCCTCTTTGTTTTCTGAAAAATGCTGACACTTTTCTTTGTACTGCTCTCGGAGGTCGGAGAGGTTTGTTCGGGAGAGATTGTCTAGGTTCATCCGCATCCACTTTAGGAAGTAGGTCCTCTCCTGGCTTGATGTCGATAATGCGCTAATAAAACAAGACATTGCCTCTGAAATGTCATATTTATTTTGCAGTTTCCTGAGTTCAATCTTTTTAATCTGGAGATCACTCTTGTATATCTCTATATTTTGATCACCAGCTTTCCGGAGTCTGCATTCCTCTTTTTCCAGTTTAGCCAGATCTTTCCAGATTTTACCCTGAAGGGGAAGCTGATCCTCTTTGAACTGCAAGGTGTCCTGTATACCTTTTATTATGACATGCGCGTTATTTTTTGCTTTTTGGCAATCTTCGGTGTCTTCATCTACTAGAATTCCAAGCTCGTGTGCTATGGTGTCCATTTTCTCCAGGCATGCTTTGATAGGATGGTTATTGATTATGTAATTCACTGTGGTATGCAGATTTTTGACAAAATGTGCATCATTTTGTTTCATCTTCAGAATGATGTTGTCTTTCTTCAAGTTCATTTCAAGGGCTGTGCTTTTCAGCTGATGCAAATTAAATGTTTTGCTTTGGGCGTTGCCCACTAAATAAACTTGTGCTTTAGCATGTTGGTTGGTGAGAAGCTTGTAATTTGTGTCCAGATTTTCAAAAAACACAAAAACTGCAGTGGAGGTCTGACATAAGAATGAATACTGCGTTTCAAAGGTACTGATGTCCCCTCTCAAGTTTGCAAAAGCCACAGGTTCAGGAAAGACATCAATGTTTTTGTTTCCACAAGGTAGATACCAACTCATCTCCACTAACCCATCTGATATCTTTCTCGGGATATCTCCACAGTCCATGTCACGATGTACAAAGGTATCATGATACTGTTGGGGGTTGCTAAGCAGTTTGTTTAAGATCTGAGATTTAGAAATGCTGCAGTCACCCAGTCTAACAAAGGACACTAAGGGGAGCTCAGAGTGAACAATTCTGTCCTCCACAAAGCCTTTTTGGTCTGACAAGGAGTGAGGTCTAAATTTCTTCACAATATCTCTCATGGCCCAAAGCATGTACATGCACTGTTGACCATCACAGTCTGGAAGAAGCAAAGGCACAGAGAACTGACACATTGACATTTTTGAGACCATTTCCTGTTGTAGGAAACCATCAGAACAATGAAAGAGGGTGGTCACTATGTCTAAAGGGTTTACATTGACATTCTGATCGATCTGAAAAATAGATGTGTCATTGTAGATATCTAAAGTTGACAAATCGTCATCTGGTGCATATTTGACACTTCTTGCCGTCACATTTACCATCATGAGTTTCTTCAGGAGTAGCCATGGTAAAGATGATAGAAACTGGGCTGGCTCATCGGTCACTGAACTCTTGTCGATCTGCAGCACATCACTGAGTGAGAGTTTGTTTGGGTAGTACTGCTCCAAACCCAAATCCTGCAAGAGGCCCTGGATGTTTGTTTCTGTTGAAAAAAAAATAATAATTATAATATGATTAGATACAATAATGCTGTAACCTTAAGTATATAAACTGTCTATTGAAATATGTAATATATTACTAACTCGTTTGAGCGTATGTCACTGCTTCTTTACTTCGAATGCCATTTGGAAGCACTCTTGTAATGTGAAAAGAGTACTTATTCCCCGGACTTAGGTCACTGAAAACCACACTTCCAGATTCTGTCATGTCATCCTGGATGTTTCTTCCATTCTGTCGACAGACCACATGAAAGTTCTTCTCTTTATATCCAGATACATCCCAAATAAGAGTTACTGATGTGGTTCCCACATTCTCAACCTTGAATTTGTCAGGTGGGACTGGCTCTGTAAAGAAATCATGAAATTATTTATGTTGTAACTTCATAGCTGACCCACATCTCATACAATATTAAGTCAGTAGCTTGTGAATACTAAAAGACAATTACTGGTGGATGCAGTCAGTTCAGTTCCTGCACTTCGATCACCGTTTACTGAAACTGAAATGATGGTGAATGCATATTCAGTCTCTGGAGAAAGATCTTCTACTTCCATGGCTGATGCATTGGAGATTGTAAAGGTCTTTGTAGTTGTAGGATTGAAGCAAGTTAACTCAAATGTAGTTATGTTTTCTGGGCTATTCCAGGCAAGAGTAATGGAACTGGTCCCAATATGCTGCACTGAAATCTCACCTGGTGCAGGCACATCTGTGAAAAAAAAATAAGCAAACAATCTCACTATCTTGATTAAGCCTGTCACGATTTAGATTTTAAATCGAAATAGATCGAAATTCATGCTCAATCTCGAATGTCAAATCAAAAAGTGGAATCGTCAATGCTGCCACGCCCCAATGTCATGTCAGCTTTGCTTACCAAGCGGAAAAAAACAAGCTTGTTGAAGTGCTGCGAGTCAATGTAACAGCTACAACAAACAGCTAAAAGATAGCATGGCAACTGCAGACACAGAAGACTCATCAACAGAACTTGAACCCCCTCAGGGCATCTTCACAGGCAGCACAAAAACATAGATTCATCTGTTAAACCAACAAGTGTAACACAAACCACTCTCCTGTCTTAATTTGGAATAAAACTTCCAAGTTACTCAACCCGTGCAACCCATGAAAAGGCAATTACAAGCACGGTAGGTGTATTTATAGCCACGAACATACGACCTTCTTCAGTGGTAGAAAACTCTGGTTTTAGGCATTTAATTAGCGTGCTAGAACTACACTACGAAATCCCAAGTAGAACGCATCTCACAGCTATGGTGATACCCTCTATGTACAATAATGTGAAGGGGAAAGTTATTGAAGGTCTTAGCAGTGTACATTTAGTAGTCTTGACTACAGATTGCTTGACCTCCAGATCTAGACAGAGCTTCATGACTGTCACAGCGCACAGGTCAGATATGATTATAGGATATAGCATAAAAGTCTTAAAATGGCATAGCTTGTGCTTTCAAATTTTTCATTTTTAAATCGAGAGTCGAATCGAACCATGACTTTGGAATCGAAAATGTAATCGAATCGAGGATTTGGAGGATCATGACACCCTTAATCTTGATAGAGTAGATAGTCTTGATAGATCTTGACTAATAATTTATTTCAATCAGTATGAATCTGCTGTTGCTTTCTGTATGCTACTTTACAGATGTTTCCAAAAACCCTACGATAATATCTGTCTGTTGTTCCTACTGTATATAAATGAAATGTTGTTTCAGAGGCAGTCTGTAATTTTGAGAGGGGTCTGGATGCAAACCTGGTGCAGTGCAATCTGAGCTGCATCTAATGCTTTTTAATGCCCTCACCTAACCCCACCTCTAACCCTACCCATCACAGTGACGTCACTCACTCCATTGAGTGCATTATGTCTGACATCGCTGAGTGATGCAATCTCAGCTTGCATCATAAAGGCTGCATCCAGATACTATTGCAATAAAAGGCACCAATAGCTACTTTTAATGTATTACTGGCATATAATGACAGTCTCGTTAAGAATGTGTGATACAAGGGCTATTTCTTACTTTGTAACTTGGCAACCTCTTCCTGATGTGTCTCAGCAGAACATGTAAATACTTGTTGTTTGTCTTTTGTGTCTTCACCTGTAGATTCATTGGTAGTTTCCTTCCAAAAAAAAAAAAGATATATTAATGACTTTCAGATTGGATATATTAATATGATGAATGTATTATTTGAGGCATAATTTGCCAAGCAGATTATGAAGGTTTGAAAAGAAAAGATTTAATGCTTACTATTTCCACTGTGGGGCAGCAGTCCATTTCAGTTGATTGGGAACTGTTTGAGACTCCTAAGTAAAATCAAATGATTTTAAATTGCTAACTATAATTGCATAAATCATTTAACAACTATTAAAAGCAAATTAAACCATGGCTTGATTTTACATCAACAAGAAATAGCCTCTCACTTTTACTGTCTTCAACACTCAAATTAGCTCAGCCCGCTATATGTAGTTGCCACACCCCAAAATCACTTGATCTGGAAAAATCCAAGCAGACATGTTTTAATGTTATTGTCATTGTTAACATTTTGGGAGTTGGTAAAACCATGAAAGGCTTACTGATTATGGTAAATGAACAATAAACTTTGTTGAGAGAAATGTAGCAATATGGATTAATGTATTTTGCATTATTAATTTCACACTCAAATCAATTTAGGCTTTTATCTTAAAAATGCTATTTATTTACAACAGATACTTAGACTTTTCTAGTTGTTACAGTAACAAAATAAGTATGTTAAGGTCAATTATTTTATAAAGCACATTTAGCACAGCCACCACCAAGCTGGCCAAAGTCCTGTACATCAGCAACATTTTTAAAAGATATCAAAGAAATGTTTAAGCAAAATTAACACTGCAATATGAATAGCAAAATAAAGAAAAGAAAACAAGTAGGTATTTAATGAGTTTTGGCAGTAAGAAATTGTTTAACTCGTTTAAATGTTTAAGGTTTTATCTTTAAAATGCCAATATTTCTGCCAATATCCAGAAGGGGAATAAAACTCATGTGATAAGCCAAAGAAAATCATAAAAATAAATAGTACACTCAGACTTTTCCAGTTGCCCTAAATTATAGAAACAACAAATAGCAACAAGTATGTCAATTTATTTATAAGGCACATTTAGCAGGCTGACCAAAGTGCTTTACGGTGACATTTTTTAAATAAATATCAAAGAAAGGTTTATATAAATTTAAATACAATCAATACTGCAATATTAAAAGGCTCAATAAAAATAAGTAGGTTTTTAGCAGGCATTTAAAGAGTTTTGGGAGTAAGAAATTGCTTAACTCTAGATAATAGACGAAGTTGATCAAAACTGGACCCAATAACCCGTATGCAAATATAAATGCAAATGAATAGACTCTCCAAATCAGGACAAAAACAGAGTTCTCATTTTGGCGGATTTTATTTAATTTTGTTTTGTTATTGTGGAAACCCAAGACGGCAGTATTTCTCTGTGTAATAAATTCTCAAAAGCTACTTACAACTGATATCCATGCGTCTAGAGAAGGAAAACCTCTGCAGTCTGCCTTTCTGTGCTGAAATAACTTCCTCTGTCTGCAGGGTTAAATTCATTGCAGGAACAAGTGACGTTTATCAGACGAAACTATGTAGGCTAGGTTGTGCGAGACAATTCACATTTTGTCATCGTTTATATCGTATTGACATAACTGCCTTTGCACATCAAGTATTTACTGTTTTATCTCCGAATTATCGTAAAGTTGCAACCTAATAATGTTTATCACAAGAAGCAACTTTAGGCTACTTCTTTTTCGGTGGTTTGGTCCTAAAGGCGAAACGAAACAGACAGTTCACATAAAACGAAACTTATTTGTTCCTGGCAAATAGATCTCCCAGCCGTTGGTTAATCAAATAAGACTTTCTGAGTATTATAAATATAAATTCATTAGCTGGCAAAGGAGGCAATGTTTTGCGGTCTTTTTCTAACTAAGGGATAAGGGATAGTTCACCCAAAAAACGAAAGTTGCTCACTATTTGCTCATCTTCATACGGAGACCCGAAAGGGTTGTGATGGTGGGGGGTCCAGGGGGGAAATAGGTGGACATTTTGATAAATATTGGAAACCAGTTACCAGTATTGAAATCCATAAAATGAAAAACTACAATGTGGATGGCAAAGGTTGCCACTTTTCAAAAATCTTTAAAACATTTTCTTTTTTGGGGTAAGAGACAACCGAATCTTCAGTTTGGGTTCAATTATACCCCTTTAAATCCATCTGTTTCTAAAGTATTTCACATAATATCTAAGTTTATGTTTTATTTCACAAGAAAAACTGTGAGCTGTGTTTTAATTAGGCTAAATGCTTTTTATGAGTTGAATCTGTGACCATTCTTTCTCTTTTGAATACTGTGCTGTGTACTATTGGTCAGGATAGAAGAGTTACAGAGGTGAGACTTTGCATACGGCAGCCATACACTCTTCCATTTTTTCACTCTAACCTAATACACGATGGAAGAGCAGATGGATCCACCTGTCTTTACATTAAAAAATGGGAAATTTTATTACAGACTCTGATAATTCACAGTTTTTTTACTCACGGATGGCTCTTAAGACTTTGATCTTTAGAGTTCTTGTATTGACAGTTTTGCATCTGGCAGATGGCACAGTCTCCGACAGCTTTAAAGAATGCAGTCAGTTCTTTTATATGCATACAGCACCCAGTGGTATCCGAGGGGGCAATCTAAAGAGGATATGCCAGCGCTATGGAGATAAACTACGGTATGCCACACTGTATGACAGCAGCTGCCGGTTGGCACTTTATTCAGCATACACATTCAAAAAGTCAGATGGACAGAGGAGGATGGACACACCCTGGATGTATGAACCACAGGTAGAGTTTAATTTTCCCAGTTTATCATTTTACAATAAATAATTGTACAGTTAAAAAAAACTCTGTTTAAAAAAATGGCAAACATATTTACAAGTGGGTGAAAATGTAATAAAACATGTTTTTTTTTTATTTTAAAAAGGGTCTTTATTTGGAAATAAAGCAATGATCCAAAAGCACCAAATGATATTGTTTTATTATTGATATACATTTTTACACAATTATATGTTTTGATGATACTGTATGTGTTATTCTTTTGTCTTCTATAGCTGGTATCCCCTGATGAAGGTGGGAACATGAAAGTGTTGCCCTCTAGTGGTGAAATAGACCAGCTGCTTGAGGAGAGCCAAGCTGTGCTGGCAGACTATGTTGATGCGGTGGAGTTTGCACGAGGTCCACTTAACCCTGACCAGCACCAGGCAGGCAACCAAGACAAAGCAGCTACCTATACACTTACAAATGTGGTTCCTCAGATCACAGAATTTTTGGAGGGCCCATGGGCCACATATATTGATATGGTGCGTCGCCGCTTGAATAACTTTTGCCGTGGCACTGCCTATGTGGTGACTGGGGTTACTGTATCAGGGATGACCATCCGAAGAGGAAAGGAAGATCGCATGGCTGTCCCAAAGTACTTGTGGTCTGCATATTGCTGTCCGCGGTTTGATAGAAACTCACCCTATGAAGTGCGGTTCATGTTTCCCACATACGCAGCATATGCATTGAATGAGATAGTGGGACACAGTGTTACAGAAGTGCCTCTGAAGGCTTTAGAGACCTTTCTGAAAACTAAGTCTAACACGGACAAAAGCGTGAGCATCTTTTTCAAAGACTGTCTTTCAGAAAATACACATGCCAATGGGAAGTGAATGTAAACAACTTATTAAAAATTTGTGAATATGACTTGTGTGTGTATTTGTGCCATGTAGATGATACGAATTTAAATAATAAAGACTAAATACATTTTAAAAAGTGCAACATACATCAACTACTGGTAGAAGTGTGAATCAAATTCAATTCAATTCACCTTTATTTGTATTGCGCTTTTACAATGTAGATTGTGTCAAAGCAGCTTGGAAAAAACTTCACCAATTAGTGAGAGTAAAGAATTAAAAAACCTTGAGAGAAACCAGGCTCAGTTGGGCACAACCATTTTCCCTTATGGCCAAACGTCTTGTGCAGACCTGCAGGTGCTGAAGAAGCTGGATGTCAGCGAGACTCATCTGTCCCTGGAGTGTCACAGGAATCAGTCTCTTGCTCTCCACTCCTCCATGACCACCACAGCAGCTGCTCAGGATACGGCCTGGTCCAAGATTATGGAAACCTTGGGATCATCTCGCCACTGGTCTTGGATCGCATCAGTGGCGCTGCATAGTCTCTGAGGGCCTGGGTATGAGTATCTCCAAGTGGAAACAGAGAATAAAAAAAATAATTAGCATAGCTGCTGTTCATACTGTATATAAACGAGATGCAAAAACCTACGTGGAGCACATTTATGTATCATACTGTTATGTGATGCACTGAGTGTATACTTTACAAACAAGATAGGTTTTTAAACTAGTATTGAACTGCGAGAATGTGTCTGAGCCTTGAAGCCATAAATGAGAAGGCTCACCCCCTTTACTTCACTTTGCTATTCTAGGTACTACTAGAAGCTCTGAATTTTGAGATCTTAAAGAACAGGTTGGATTGTAGCGAAACAGGTTGGTTAGATAAACAGGAGCTAGATCATTTAAAGCTTTATAGGTAAGAGCCAATATTTTAAAATCAGCCTTGAAGTCATAAAAGCATGGACTATAGCTTTTCTGCATCTGAGATGGATAACTTAGCAATATTTCTCAGATGAAATAGGGCAGTTTTTGTGACATGGGATATATGATTTTCAAAAATTAAATTGCTGTCTAATATGACACCCAGATCTAAAAGTTAAATTGCTGTCTAATGTGACACCCAGAATAAACTATTAAAATTATATCTGAAAGTATTTTTTTACAATGAATGTATTGGAATATAATTGTATTAGTTAGTCTTTACAAGGCTGAGAAGGCAATAAAGTCACCCAAGTCCTACTCTATGTGAATGATTTCCATTTTTATCATGCCATACGGCAGAGCAGCGTGTGTGTATCCATGACTACTTCTATCTCTGCATTTAAATATCTCTTTGTTGATAGGGTAAATGTGAATTTAAATGTAACTGTTGAAGTTTGATGGATTGCATACGTATGGCTTTGTTATTATTGTTTGCGTATAAACAATACTGCTGCTAGTAGACACATGAAAAGCTAGTCATTTTATTCTTCGTGTACGACAAGGGGCAGCCACTTAAATATTTTTAAGCTTGAGACTTCTCGTCTTATTCACTTCCATTTATTTTTAGATGTTAAAAACAGCTTGTTATGCTGTTTTATGCTGCAAACAGATATTTTCTTCTTATATTATTCTACTATTTCTGTATAGTCATGCAAACACTTGTTTGTAGAGCAAGTAGTTTGACCGTTTTCTGCTGTTTATTATTCCTGGTCATTTCTCCTATAGGCAACTGAATCCGAAGTTCTAAAACAAATGCAAAAACGTGCACACTTCCGCATTGAAGAATAAGGTCAAAAGGCTTTGTCAAGTTATTATGTAACAGTTAAGCTTGCAAGTAAATAGAGTACTTGTAGTAAAAGTTATTAGGACAATATCTGATTCTTACATCAGTTGAAAAGGGGAACTTTATGAATGACACTTACTTGACAACAACAAAAGTTGTCTGATAAACCTCCCGGACTCCTAAGCGGAACTTGTTAGCTAACATTTGTTTAAGGAAGATTTAATATGACTTTTTAGTTTGTACTTATTGGCCCTGTACTGCCTGGTGACTCAGTTTATTTTGTTAAACATGTCAATATTGGCATTGATTAAATAAACACTAAGTACATTAGGTACTTAAAGGGACATTCATTCATTCATTCATTTTCTTTTCGGCTTAGTCCCTTTATTCATCAGAATCAACCACCAACTTATCCAGCATATGTTTTACACAGCGGATGCCCTTCCAGCCGCAACCCATCACTGGGGAACCCATACACACTTATTTGCACACATACATAAACTATGGACAATTTAGCCTACACAATTCACCTATACCACATGTTTTTGGACTGTGGGGGCAAGAGCACCTGGAAGAAACCCATGCGAATTTAGGGAGAACATGGAAACCCCACACAGAAACACCAACTGACCCAGCCGAGGCTTAAACCAGCAACCTTCTTGCTGTGAAGCAATAGTACTACCTACTGCGCCACTGCGTTGCACTTAAAGGGACAGTTTTCCCATAATTAAAGCTGATGTTAATGTATTCATCTTCGGTTTAATCATTCAAAATTACAAATAAAAAAAACAAATTGCTACTGTACTTAACCATACAAACCACAAATGAACAATGACTTTGCTTTGCTAATCAAAGTTTTGCCATGACATTTGCAGAGTAAATGGTAGACTAGTTGACTAGTCAGTTGCAAAAGTTCTGTTTAAGCATTAATAAAAATTGAGTTGAGTTGGCCAACAGTCATTGAAAAGATGATTTCAGAATTAAAGCAGTTACAGCTCTCACTTTGCTCTCGTAGATTGATATTTTTATGAAATAAATGTCTTTAAATTGGATGATATTTAAATATTTGTATAAATGCTTTACATTTTCTGTTTGGCATCTGGCTCAGGCTGTGCTGGCTGACTGTAAGTAAATGTTCACATTTAAAAAGCCAATAACCATTAGGACAGCAGTGAGCAAATGACCCTGCTGATTTGCATGTAGAGCAGGATAACGGCATGCTGAAGTTTGCCTTATCAACTTATACTAAGTTTTACTGTGGATCAGACTGTGGTTTTGCATGTACATTATACTCACATTCTCAATGCCTCTCATTCTATCTTACACCTACCAGCGAAGAGTCGCTCAATTTTAAATGAGATTAAGTCATTTGACTGGAGACCAGTCACAGGAAAAGACCGAGCATTTTTGTTCTGAAATTATTTGTTGTGATTCTGGCCTACTTAGTTCAGTTTAAAGAGCATTTCACAAACGCTTTACAACAACATGAAGCTCACAGTCTATTGCTGGTCCTGGTTTGGGATCTTGCTGATGTTTTTGATTCTAAGATCTCAAGCTAGTGTGGTAGATGACTTCTCTCAAGTACAGCGCTGTAAGGATTTTCTTTACCTGGGCACTCCACCACGAGGTTACCTCAGTACTTCTCTGAAAAAGATCTGCCAGAGATATGTGGACCAGCCTCGCTTTATCACTTTCTACGACCCTAAAAAGCACATTCCCATGTATTCCGCTTACATCTTCAAGAAATCTGATGGGGAAAAACGAGTAGATGTTCCCTGGATGTTTGAACCACAGGTGAGCATGTGCTAAGAGTACATCTGTATGAACGCCTTTAAAATTTTTGAGGTCAGTTAGATTTTTACTTTGAAAGGAAGGTCATCTTTATTTTGATGGTCTGTTTGTTGAATTTAAGTTACACTGCATCTACATGCAATTAATTCTTATTAGACTATAAGTAGACTGTTAGGTTATGGTTAGGGTTAGGATCAGTTTATTTTGACATGTATTTGCAAAGCTTCTTATAGTCAGTTAAATCTGTTGGAGCATATCAACAGATAATAAGCAGACAGTCTACTAATACTCAAATGGACCATCAAAACAAAGTGTTATCGAAAGGAATTCAATTATGCATCAGACTGATTAAAAGTGATAGTCTACATTGTTACAAAAAACATAATATGTTTCAAATAAATGTTGTTCTGGCGACACGGTCGCTCAGTGGTTATCATTGTCACATCACAGCAAGGTTGCTGGTTTGAGTCCTGGCTAGGTCAATTGCTATTTCTGTGTGGAGTTTGGATGTTCTCCCTGTGTTTGCATGGGTTTCCTCTGGTTTCACCCAGACATGCGGTATAGGTGAACTGAATAAACTAAATTGGCCGTAGTGTATGAGTGTGTATTGATGTTTCCCAGTTCTGGGTTGCAGCTGAAAGGGCATCCACTGTGTGAAACTTATGCTGGATAAGTTGGCGGTTCATTTCGCTGTGGCGACTCCTAATGAATAAAGGGACTAAGCAGAAGGAATATGAAATGAAATGAAATGAAAGAAATGAAATTAACGCTGTTCTTTGAAAGTTTTATGTATGATGTTTTCCAAAATATATTAATGGGATAGTTTACCCAAAAATGAAAATTCTGCCAATTCTTTTGTGTTCTGTTAAAGAAAAAAGAAGATATTATGAAGAATGTTGTAAACCTATAACGACTGACTTACACAGTATTTAATTTTACTACACTGTTAAAAATGCTGGGTGCCACACAGTTGATGTGTTATGAAAACATGAAGGAATTAGGTTAACTTATTTTAAGTAGACTGAATATAAAACAAGACGGTGTTTACGCATAATTATAAGTACTGTTAGAACTCTTAATTACAGCTAGTAAATAGGAATATTGTGAGATCTACAACTTGTACTATGTAACACCTCTGCAGTACCACCTGACTGTTTAAGATTAATTCAGATGTTGATAAGCTTACTTTAGAATCCAACAGCTCCAAATATAGAATGTTCATAACAGAATGTTACAAATATACAATGCTACAAAAAGAATGCTTTAAATCAAGAATGTTCTAAACAGAAAGCTTGAATTTTAGAATGTTCCAAATATAGAATGCTACAAATTGAAAATCTTCATAATGGAATGCGGGCATCATGGTGGCGATGTGGGTAGCATGATCGCCTCATAGCAAGAAGGTCGCTGGTTCGAGGCCCGGTCAGGTAAGTTGGTGTTTCTCTGTGGAGTTTGCATGTTCTCCCCTTGTTCGTTTTGTCCAGGTACTCTGGTTTCCCTTACAGTTGCTATAGGTGAATATGGTAAGCTAAATTAGCTGTCGTTTATATGTGTGAAAGAGTGTGTATGAGTGTTTTCCAGTGTTGAGTTGCGGCTGGAAGGGCATCTGCTGCGTAAAACATATGGTGGATAAGTTGGCGGTTCATTCCACTGTAGTGACCCCTGATTAATAAAGGGACTAAGCAAAAAGGAAATGACCGAATGAATATGAATGAACAAAAAACTCAAGAATTGTGATGTTTCAGCTCCTTTTAAGTAGTTTAAACAATCAGCAAATGTCACTTTTTGAGTGTGTTATGGATGCCGATGGTTGCAGATTTCCAAAACATTATTCACAACAGGAAAAAAAACTCCAACTCATTTGGAACAAGTAGGTATATGATGGCAGAATTGTCATTTTTGGGTGAACTGTCAATCTCTTTAAGAGGCACAACTGTTGTCAACAAGGATTTAAAAAAATAATTGTGTACAAAGTGTTAGGGGGGACACGATGGCTCAGTGGTTAGCACTGTTGCCTCATAACAAGAAGGTGGCTTGTTCGAGCCTCGGCTGGGTCAGTTGGCATTGTTCGCCCTTTGTTTGCTTGGGTTTCCCCCACAGTCCAAAGACATGCTGCATAAGCAAATTGAATAAACTAAATTGGCCATGCATGTGTGTGAATGAGTGTGTATAGATGTTTCCCAGTACTGGATTGCAGATGGAAGGGCATGTGCTGCCAAAAAAACATATGCTGGATAAGTTGTCAGTTCATTCAACTGTGGTGACCACTGATGAATAGAGACTAAGCTGAGGAAAAATAAATGAATGAACAAAGTATAAGCATTTTAGAAGGATTTCTGAACGATCATGTAATACTGAAGATCTGGAGCCACTGAAAACTTGCCTTGTCATTACATAAACAAATAAAATGCAGAATAGTTGTTTAATAGTTATAGGTAAAATATAAATAGTTTAACATTTAAAAAATCTCACCAACACCAAGCTTTTGAACAGTAGTTTACTTATCTTTTTAAATGCTTTTTAATTCAAAATTGGTTCTGCATATGCTTGAAGGTTTTGTTCCTGAAACGTTTGAATAAGATATGAGTTTATGACCCCTAATTATGCAGGGACTATGGCAAAAGTAAGTGAGTAAGTGAATGAGTTTATTGTAATCATTAAAGCTTCTGTGATTTGAGTGAGTTTATTGTAATCATAAATGTTTCTGGGACTCTTAAATAATCTATTTCCTCATCCCCTGTACTATTCATTTTGCACAGCTGGCAACTGAGAAAGGAAGCAGTAACATGGAGCCGTTCCCCCAATCCACCTTCATGCACAAGAACTTTGAAGACACTCAGGCTGTGCTAGAAGACTACGCTGACGTGGTCCAGTATGAACGTGGCCAGCTTAACCCAGACGAGCATCAGGCAGACCCGCTGGACAAGGCTGCCACCTACACCTTGACCAATGTGGTTCCTCTAATAAGAGAGTTCAGTTTTGGCCCCTGGAGCACTCAGGTTGAGGTTATCCGCAAACGCCTCAACAACTACTGCCACGGAAAGGCTCACGTAATCACGGGGGTGACCACATCTGGTAATATGATTCGGCGTGAAAACCTAGATCGTGTGGCCATCCCAGAGTTCATGTGGACGGCCTATTGCTGCACTGATTACGACCACAACGCCCCCTATTCTGAGCGCTATAAGTTTCCTGCGTTTGGTGCATATGGCCTTAATGATCGAGTGAATAACCACATAGTGGAGGTTCCCATCAAGTATCTGGAGAAGTTTCTCAAGGGTAAAATGGAGGTGGACAAGAACTTCCAGATCTTTTATAACGACTGTGTGTCGGATTTGTAAGGATTGTAGTGAATAACGAAACAATCCACTACATTCATCATCTGTAAATTGCAGATACAGTTAAAGCGAATTAGTAGCCCTGCTGAATTATTAGCCCCCTGTATATTTCCCTCAATTTCTGTTTAACAGAAAGAAGATTTTTTCCAACACATATTTTAACATAATAGTTTTAATAACTAATTTCTAATAACTGATTTATTTTATATTTGCCATGATGACAGTACATAATAATATACCAAACATTTTTCAATATACTTGTATTAAGTTTAATGTGCAATTTAAAAGTGTGACTAGGCAAGTTAAGATAATTAGGGAAGCCATTGTATAATGATGGTTTGTTTTGTAGAAAATTAACAAATATATATATTGCTAAGAGGGTTTATAATATTGACATTAAAATGGGTTAAAAATGTCAAAACTGATTTTATTCTAGCCAAAATAAAACAAGTAAGACTTTCTCTAGAGGAGATCACATATTATATGAATAACTGTGAAAGATCCCTTGCTCTGTTAAATATAATTTGGGAAACATTTCAAAATGAAAAAATAAAATCAAAATCAAAGGAGGGCTAATAATTTTCACTTCAACTGTATATGACCCTGAATCACAAAACCAGTCTTATGTTGCATGGGTATATTTTGGGCAATAGCCAGAAATATATTGTTGGGGTTAAAATTATAGATTTTTTTAAATGTCAAAAATCAATACAATATTAAGTAAAGACCATGTTCCATTAAGATTTTTGTAAATGTCTTACTGTAAAATTTACAGTAAAACCTATCCAAATTTAGTTTTTAATTAGTAATATGCGAACTTGATATTCCCTCTGATTGCATATTATCAAACAGTTTTATTTCAGACAAACTTTGTCAAGTGACAATCAATGAAAAGCTTATTTATTAATTTGTTATTTTTATTTAAGTTGCACTTGTGACTGGTTTTGGGGTCCAGGGACACTACATGATACAATGATAACGAATGATATTATGTCAGAAAAAGTACAGAAGTTTTCATTAATCCATTGCCTATTTCAAAGCCAAAACTGTGTTCCTTTTTAGATGTGCCTATTAATATCTACAGTGTATTATTTGCCTTTTGCAAGAAAAGACAGATTTTATACCTTTTTCTCCTGAGAATGCAACATATGATGTTTTGATTCATTGAATGAAGGCTCTTAAATCCTCCAAATTCAAGGGATTGTTCACTCCAAATTGAAAATGCACTCACGATTTACTCACCCTTGAGCAGTTTCAAACCTTTATGGGTTTCATTATTCTGTTGAACGTAAAAAAAAGAAAGAAAAAAAAGACATTCTGAAGAAAGCCTGAAACCAAAAGCCTTTGACATCCATAGTGGGAAAAACAAATACTATGGCAATTAATAGTTAACGGTTTCAAGCTGTCTTCAAATTATCTTCATTTGTGTTTAAGGATGCAGTAAATAATGACTGTCCTTTTAAACCATTATTATTTATACATATTTTGAATTTATTATCTATTCCATGGTTAAAACTGATTTTGAAGATTAACAATATTTATATAACACAAATTTAAGCAAGTCTCAATTGAGATATAAGACGTTGTTTTAATGTTGCAACACAGGCTTAATGACCTACCTGTAAAGCTAAAACACATTTTAAATAATTTAATTGGAATACATATTAAGAAATGTAAACGGGACAATCTGACAAACATCAAGATGCTGTTACCACATAAGAGGGAAGAATGTCTAAATAAAACTTAAGTGTCTACTGTTCAGTCACGTGGATTCATTTATCAGTTTCTTATCATGGTTTGATATTCAAATATTACTGTGCACTTGACCTGACTGGTTCAAGCTAGAAAGGTCTATTCAAAAAAGTCAGGGGCAAGGAAGTCAGACATTTTCATTTAGATATTTTAATAATGTGATGAGGTGAAACAGGAAAATGTTTACACCGTATAAAACTGTAGTTTAAAACTGTATGCAATCATAGTCATTGTTTCCATCTGTATCTTTGAGTTAGGACATTGTATACTATTATGAAGTCAATACATACAATTATAGACAACATGAGTTTATGAAAAATTAAACCCTGTTATTTCTTAGCAGTAAGAGGCAGGCAGATGTTGTAGAAAGAACACTGGTCCAGAGAACTAACTGGTTTCCATGAAACCCAACCTTGCGCTTGTAAAGTGTTTTTATCTAAGGCACAGCCGTAATAGTGAGGATCCATAACAAGCAGATAACTCCCGTGTTTACTGGTGCTCACACCTAAAATCCCCTTAGAGGAGTTGTCCCTTTCCCCTCCCATCATAACAGGTGATCCACGCGTAAGAAAGTGGTTATGAAGATCCTCTACGGCCTGATCGAGCTCTCCGCCATACCGCACGTGCACTATGCGACAGGGAACATCATAGAGCTGGTCAAGAACAAGACTAGCCTCAAACGTCCCGATCCACTCCCTGGAGCCCAGGAATGAATCAGGTTTGTCTCCTATTTCCACCAAAGTCTGCTGTATTTCGGAAATACTTGGTGGGTGTCTCACGCTTACAGGTTGATTAAGACACAACCATGAAGAAATGGTCTGAATAGTTCTGTATCCACAACCCCAACCTCTGTCGTCCTTGCCATCGCAGCCATAATGATAATAGAGACACTCTCCTGATATGACTGAGCATCTGTCACAGTCTGCAGACGGCGGAGGCAGGCCGACATGGGCATTATTTACCAACACATCCCTCCACGTTTCCTTATTGGCAGCCATTGGCGTTTGTTCATTAACATATCTACCCCAGTCTATACACTGTTTTTGAAGTGTTTCTGTTTTCTCGGTCTTTTCCATGTTAATGTGTGTCTATCAGATACGAAATAGTTTACATATTGAAAACAGACAGGAACTTCACACACGTGATCTTGAGCGTATGTCCATCTCTGAAACTCTTCCCTGCGGTGCATGAGCTCGTGCTAAACCGTTCCGCTACAACTTAGAGATTTTAGAAAGGGTTTTTATGTAATTTATTTACAGTCAACCGGTTTAAATACAATTAAATTGCCTAAACGACGAATTCTGTCTATAAATATCAAGTCGATATCAATATCTGGGTCTTTTAAAATAAACAAATAACGTAGACTTACCATTTTCCGTTACTGTTTGCACCGTTTGCCAGAAAAACATGTAACGTTAACGTTAAACGGTTATGGAAAAGTGTTGACAAGACAGCAATGATGCCAAAACAAGACAAATTGTCGTTGTTTTATAATAAGTTGTCTTTTGTAGACATTCACCAACAACGTAACGTTAAACTTAACATTTAATTAAATCTGTTGTCGTGTCGCTTTTCCGAACTTGGCCAAATGGTTGCCACTGCATCACTTTAACGTTACCAAACCAAACAAAGAGCTGCGTAGTGTATGTATTTTTTTCTTTTTTGTAATGAACAAATATTTACATCGCATGAGAAATAACTTGTCATGTTTGTACTTTCACTCCGTCCACATTAAATAAAGATGCTAATATGTTTTGTCAAAAGAAACCATTTATTCATCCATGACTTAAATGTATCTTGTAGCGCTGTGTGCGCTTCTGTTTTACAGCTACAGTGTCGCACAAAGTCGTTACATTGTCTTTTGATCGTCATATTGAGACAAAATAACATTTCTTCTGCTGTGAGTTGGCTTAAAGGTCTCCAATAAACAGTGGTTTAGCCTATGTTCATTTTCCAAGTGGCTAACATCGAAGTCCTTTATTGTACATTCTTTAATTACACTAGACACCCATCTGTGTTTGTAACGCTACCGCCAGTCCATCAACAGAGGGAGCCAGTGCTTTTGGAAGTGTGTATAGACCCATTCAGATCCGCTGTGGAGTGCACTAGTGTTGGCCAGGCTTTCAATAAGGTAAGCTACATTCTGTTACATGTGTGTATTGTGTCATTAAAACCGTATTTTGAGCAATAAATGACAGCCTATTGCTGTTACTAAAACACGTAATGTTGGAACAAGTAACTGATTGTTCAATGAGTAAATAAGCACATGTTGTAATTTGTCATATTTTGAACAGTTTGATTTGAGGTGCCAGTCTTTTGGTTTCTAAATTGCTTTCTAATGAAAAAAACACAAGAGTGTGTCTATTTCCCACATGAGAACCAATGCAACCAGAGAAATGGCAAATGTAATATTATTCATCACTTTGCCAATAATGGGTCCTAAGCAAAACAAATCCCAAACTAGGTCTGATTAGACAATGTGAATGGATGTACACTGGTTTGGTTTGGTAAACAGTTGTTGCCTATTGCGTTGTGAAGATTTGTATACATGAAGTGATCATTATTACATTTAGTAATTAAATTAAATGACTTGTTTTAAATGTACATGTCGTGTTTTATTTAGGAAACTGTACAAAATAGCAGCCAAATATTTTGAAATAACTTTTGAACAAAATAAATAATACTAACATCAATCTTGTTCTTTTCATTTCATTTATTTATTTAAAGGGGTTTAAAATACTACTTAAAGAAGGTCAAGACAGAGCAGGTAGATAACAGAAGCACACAAAAAAACATCAGCATGCATAAAAGCAGATCACAAGGTCAACGAATAGACTACGATAAACAATGCACGATAAGGGATGTGTGAACGCTGGCCTGAAATGTAATGTTTTGACTTGAGATAGACTAAAGATGAACACTTAAGATGAGACTCAAATCCAGAGATGGAAGGCATTCCAAAACTAACTTACATGTCAAGTCCCTGATGCAAAATCCTGTGGTTACAATGGGAGAAAAATAAAACCTTCTATCTAAAGAGGTCAAACTGTTAGTGGTTGTGTAATTATGATTCAAGCAGGAGTCAAGACTGTACGGATAACTGAAGGTGAGTGCAGAATGGCAGTGTCAGATTGAAATGGAGTCAGCCTTTTCTTGTTGGATTCTTTTCATTGTTAATATGCATTATTAATGCTTGAAAATAGCAGGCAAATATTGTAACATAAAGTAGAGAGGAATTACTAACTTAAGTGTTGCCAAAACTTTTTTTTATTTTAAATGTTTGTTGCCAAAACCTTTCTAAGCTCACAGGTTTAGCTTTTTTTATTATGAATGTTTATGCAATGTTATGCAAGACACTTATAGCAACATTATTGGCTTTTGTTAGCTT